TTAGGACTTTAATAACGGGCGAAGAGCTTGGAGCCCACCCTCCCTCCTCACTGAAAGAACTGAAGGCAACCATATGGTTTTCCCACCAACCTAACCCTTTCACCCCGTGACTTCCAAGGCAGCATCCACGTGACTTTGATTTTCTCTTTAGCTCGTTATTTTTTTCTTTTGTAGCTACAGGTATTTCTTTAAAGGTTTTTCTAATCTCGGTTATTTATAAATTTACAAAAGATGTCACACTGCCTCTTTGGGTGTGTTTCTTTTAATTTAATAATGTCGCACTGCCAAGAGAAATCAACTTTGATCTTTTGTGCGTATGTGTGTGGTTGTGATGTGTGTGTGTGTGTATGTGTATGTGTGTGTGTGTGATGTGTGTGTGTGTGTGTGTGTGTGTGTGTGTGTGTGTGTCCATGAATGTGAGTGCAGATTCACATGCTGAGGTCAGAGAACAACCTCAATTCTCAGTCCTCGTCTTCTACCTTGTTTTGGGGGGACAGGGCCTCTGTTGTTTTGCCACTAGAGATGCCTCAGTAGTTGGCCCAAGAGCTTCTAAGTGTTCTCCTGTGCCTGTCTCCCATCTCATGATAGGAGCACCAGAACTGCAGATATACACTACCGAATCTGGCTTAACGTGGGTTCTGGGGATTTGAACTCAAGTCCTCATGCCTCCATAGCAAGCACACTACCTACCGAGCCATCTCCCAACAGAGTTTTCCGTGTTGTTTTTGCTCCTACGTTTGGTGTGAGTAGAGTTTTCCATGGTGTGAATTCACCCCGGTTTGTCCATCTGCCCCCCACTAACGGGCAGCTGGGCTCCTCCCAAGCCTGTGGTGATAACAACACAGCGGCACACAGTTGCAGCCTTCTCAGCCTGAGTGTCTCCAAGGCACACACGCCTAAGAGTAGAACCGCTAGGCCACACCAAATGCGACTCCTCAACTCAGGAAATGACAGCAAACTAGCTAGTGTGCCTAGCACTTCTTAGATGCACGCTTCCTCCCCCTAGCTCCTTCAGTTTGATTTCTTTAAGTATTAAATATCAGCTCTACCAAATTATTATTTTTTTAATGTTTTTCTGTTTTTGTTTTTGAAGATTTAGTTAATCATGTATATAGTGTTCTGCCTGCGTGTATACCTGCAGGCCAGAAGAGGGCACCAGATCTCATTGCGGATGGTTGTGAGCCACCATGTGGTTGCTGGGAATTGAACTCAGGACCTCTGGAAGAGCAAGCAATGCCCTTAACCACTGAGCCATCTCTCCAGCCCCAAACTATTTTTTTCAAGACAGAGTTTCTTTTGTGTATCTCTGGCTGTACTGGAACTCACTCTGTAGACCAGACTGGCTTCGAACTCACAGAGATCCGCCTGCCTCTGCCTCCTGAGTGCTGGGATTAAAGGCGTGTGCCACTGCTGCCCAGCTACCAAAATGTTTAAATCAAGTTCTTGTCTTAACCCTTGTGTGGCATCTTAGGTGAATTTTCCTGCATGGAAAAGAGGGTTGGACAACAGGAAGAAAACCTAACTGGATCCTAGTGTAGACACTGAGATTGGATAGTCTAATGGGAAGGAACAGCCCAGAAGCTGTTTTACTCTTGACAAATGGGAGACAGAAATGGAGATTTAGGGTAGAGCTAAAGCCTGTTTCCCATCTAAGATGCTCACTCAGCCTCTTCTGCCCCGTTCTACTCACCATCACTGCATGTGCAAAGAACAAAAACCTGGAAATGGAAAGTCCAGTCTGTAAGTCAGTAATTTCAAACGACAGTGGAGGTGGAGTCCAGACTGGACATCACCATTCAGTCTAACGCATCTCTATCCCCACACGCCGAATGTTTTCCAGTCTGACCAGCTCACAGATGAATCACATCCCTTTTCTTTCTCAAGGAGCTTGCAAGTCTCCTCATTTCTAAGACAGGATCAGGCACGAAGTGCCCAAGGGATAACAGTGCCAGGCAGGAGGAGATGCTCACTATAGAAGGACTCAAAAGTTAAGAACTTCAGATGCCCTCTGAAGACCCTGATGAAGCCGGGCAGGGAGCAAAGAATATACTTCGAATAATTATGAACTAAGTTTCTGATTCACACCCCTTGATTTCCCCATAGTCTTCTATTTCTTACTTGGAGCGGTTGGTTTTTTTGAGACAGGGTTTCTCTGTATAGCCCTGGCTGTCCTGGAACTCACTCAGTAGATCACAGAGTAGATCACCTGCCTCTGCCTCCTGAGTGCTGAAATTAAAGATGTGCACCACCACCATCAGGCCTTTCTCGTGGTTCTTAGATGTTTCCAGTCTCTGGTCATACTCAAACACCAGAGGAGCTCGAAGATTATCATTAAACATTCATTATCTCCACTTTCTTCAGTTTTCATTCCACAAACACTGAAAGAGTAGACCTCTACCAAGTGACTGGACTTGTACTGGGCTCTGGGGATACATAGATGGGCAAGATGGGTTCAGACTCAACCCCCATCTCAACCTATCTTCAAGGGTGAGCAGAGGATTAAACAAAGACTGTTTACTTGACCTGTCCATCACTCAGACGTCATCAGCCTGAGATAGCCTCTCCCTTTCCCCCTTCTTTCTCCCCTGAAACATTCTCAGGGAATTTTGCAGGATGAAAGAAATGACTGCCTGCTCCATGATTGAAAGACTCCCTGACCAGCTTCCCAGGTAGCCAAGTGGCTGCTCAGACCTCAGAGAGCATCAGGTGCTTCCTACAGAGCAACCTCCAATCTGATACTTGATAGCTGGTGATTTCCAGAGTCAAACAAATGTCAGGGATTTTATGAAGGAAGGCAGGAAGCAGAAAGGGGGGCGAAGATGGGGGTCTAGGCCTCAAGGGAGCTCAATTAGTGAGTCAGATAGTTCAAGCGAAAGGGTATGTTCTCAGTTTCCTAGAAAGCCAGCTGGAAAAGATGGCAATCCTTAAGCCTCTGTCACTCAAAAGATTAAGAGAGGAGACCTCAGGGTGCCCAAAGGGAATTCTGCAACAAGCCAGATGTTTCTGCTCTTCCTATGATTCCACTGCTCTCAACCAGAGCCACATTTCTGGGGCCACCTAGAAGCCACGGAAGAGAGCTGGTATCTTTTGAGACAGGGTTGAAATCTAAACATAATCCTTTATCAATACAGATAGAAAAGATTCCTCTGTGACCTTGCCTGGTATGTTGGGGTTTATAATTTTCCCATGGAGTCATCTTCCCCTTTCACTGGAAGCACACAATATAATCCATGCAAGCCTTCCAGAGCCATACATACACCATGTTACACCTCCCTGCCTCCAAAATGGGTCTAAAAAGACTGCCTCTCTTCTTCTTAAGAGACTGTATGAAATGCCAAGCCCAAAGGTTCATACATGGTGGCTCTTACTGTTGCCCATAAGTACAATCAGATAACCACACGCTTAAGATTGCTGCTTGCAGTCTAGAAAGATGACTCAGTATAGGAGCACTGGCTGTCCTTTCAGAGGACCCAAGTTCAGTTTTCTGAACTAGTATAGAGCATCTCGCAACTCCAGATCTAGGGGATCTGATGCCTCCAGCCTCTGAGGGCACCTACACTCACATCCCCATATTCACCTTCAGACTTGCGTATACACATGTAGCTAAAAATAATAAATAAATCTTTTTTAAAAAGAGCCATGTCTCCTTAGTATGTTCTAAACTTGTGTGTGTGTGTGTGTGTGTGTGTGTGTGTGTGTGTGTGTGTGTGTGTGTTTGACAGGGTGAGCCGAGATACAGGCAAACCTATTTACAGGTCCTGCTTATGTTCCATCACTTTTGTCAAATTAACAAACTAAAGAAGTTGTCAGGAAACTTAGAATCCGTTTGCCCCTGCAGTCCCAGCTTTCTCCTAAAAGGTGCTTTCTCCGGTTCCAGGAGTTAAGGAAGGAAAGCCATATGGCTTGAGACGTTAGACATGCCCGGCAGCAAGCAAGCCCCCCCTCCACCATTTGTCGGAGGGCCTCTCTCCTTTCGACCCCCGTGTGGGCGGGCATCCAGATTGCGTTTGGGGTGCTCTGGTCTGCATCTCTGTCTTGACTGTTCCTAATTATTGGAGGGAACGCCGTGGCTCTCTCTTGCCTGACCTCAGAATTTAAGAGCTTCGAGTCCTCGTATCAAACCATCAGCTTCATTTAAAAGGCATCCTCATCTGCATCCATAAAAGTCGCTCCTGGAGCCCTGACTTGCCCCAGCTTTGGGAATGCTGTCGAGGATTTATGACACACCCTGGATCTAATCGGCCGCACTTTAACTGCTGCTGTTGCACATCTGGTCATAAAAGCAAGGGCCGGCCCAACACGGGGACAAACACTTTTCTTTCCTAAGTGGCTGCAAATCTGATCTCCCAGTGATAGGTGGGCTCAGATGTAATCAGCCCAGCATCTGGGCAGTCATTAAGTTAGTCAGGTTTTGCAAAGCTTTTTCCTCCGTGCTCGACAGCTATAAAGATGATTCCGCATAGCAAAAGCCAGGAATAAAGAAGCAGCTACGGGAACAGGTGGTAATGGGGCTAGCCATCCAGGAAATGGGGCCAGAGGATACCCAGGAAAGAACGCACAATGTGGTTGAGAAACCATCCTTCTTTGCTCCGAGGTCCCAGCTCCTCTACCAGGGAGGTTCCCGCAAGGTGCGGGCAAACTGCTACCCGAAGGTCCAGGCTCCATCTGACTGACTCTGACGCTTGCCCAGAGATCGCCTCCCTTATGTTTTGCCAAAGGAACCACTAGGTGGTTTAACAAATACATTTTTAAGGCAGTGAAATTTTTTATTAGACTAATAGGAGGGGGCAGGGAGAGCAATAATCTAGACCAGAAATGAACACAATGCTGCCGGTTCCCGTTTTACAATGCCCTGGACAATCCGTCCTGTGCACAGAATTGGCACATTTCGTGTGGTTCAGAAACTCCAATCAGACCAAGGTTCAGCCGATCCAACCCGGGGGAGGAGATCCTGGAATACTGCGCAGCTCTCCCGAACTTCTCCACAGTTGCCCCCACCCCTGCCGCTCCTCCAGGGCCAGGCCGGCAGGAGGGGGGCATTAAAATTATCTGCTGTGGGTTTTACGAGGGGCGATTGCTTTTTAAAACAACAACAACAACAACACAAGGTCCCTGTGTGGCTCGTGGGTAACCTAAAACTCTCTAGGCAGAGTACCCCCCTTACACCCTTACACACACACACACACACACACACACACACACACACACACACACACACACACATCCTCCGCCTGCCAAGAACGCCAGCACGGGGACCGATGCAGCGACACCATAGAGAAGCTCTGCTCCAACCAAGGCCGAGCTCCCACCGACCTAGGAGGCGCCTCTAGGGGGTCTTGAAGGAAAAGACTCCGGAGAAGTTCGGGAAAGAAAACCCACCGGTGACAGGTCGTGGGAGTCGGTGCTACAAGAAAAAGCGGGGGGGTGGGAGGGGGGACAATGAAATTTTATTTCAGCAACTTTTCCAAAAGGCCCGTAAGGGACTAGACAGCAGAGTCGGGGACAAGGTCTGTCACCTCCCTTCCCCCTCCTGTAGATGAGCGGCCAAAAGACCTCTCCCCCCCCCCCCCCCGCGCAGGTGGGCGCGCGGCCGGGAGACGCACTTACCCTGGGGCCGGTGGTGCGGTGGCCGCCGGCCGGGCACAGCTGCACCAACAGGAGCAGCAAGTGGGGCGTGAGCAGGCGGACGCGCGCGGGCAGCATGGTGCCAGCCGAGCCAGGCAGCCGCTAGCGGGCAGGGGGCGCGGGCTGGCTTCAAAGCGCTTGGGGATAGGGGAGGACCCTGGCGGCCGCGGGGTGCGGCCAGAGAGCCTGCAACGGGGGCTGGCGGAGCCTGCGGCCGGGGGGGGGGTCACGGTCATGAACGGCGGAGTCCAAGAGCTGGAGCGCGAGCGTGTGCTCTGCGCGTGGCGCCTGCTGCGCTCGGCCTGGCCGCGGCGACAGCAGGTTGGATGCCGGAGCCTGGGCCATGGGAATTCCCGTTATAAACCCCGGGGAGGGGAGGGGCGGGGCCCGGCGGGGCTGACTGACGGGTCGAGAGGCCTGTAGCAGCCGACCCTCCGGCAGGTGGAAGCCAATGGGAGAGAGACGAGAGGGCCGGTTCGTGGTCAGCCCCCCACCTTGGAGCCACACTGGTTTCCCCGCCAGCCGGAGTGGACTCCAGCAGAGGCTGGGATACACAGTAACTTTCCCTTGGCAAGTCCTCCCTGGGAACCTCAGAGCGCTCCCGCAGCCTCAGCCCCTCCAGAATGATCACCTGGCTAATAAGGAAGCCTTGAGAACTTACTGGTTTTCAGCTCCCAGGCTGGGGTTGTCGCAACAGCTCCGTGAAGAAGGCAGAGGAAAATAGCTCCATTTTCCAAATGACACAAAGACCTTGAGAAATGTTTCCCGGCGGCCACAACACCAGGGAGCAACCTGGGAAGCCACTAGGTACCTCCTACAGCGTGGGCTGTGACCTTCGTTAGAAAGAGGAGTGAGAGTGTTAACTTTCAAAAAAGAAAAAAAAAAAAAATCTCCTTACAGGTGACATCCCGAGTTGCACAGCGGCTACCAGACAGAAGTCTCACAGAGGCAAAATAAAGCACCGGAGGCCGGGGAGGCCCCCTGAGGGTCTGGTAATGCGCACCTGTGGCCCTGTGGTCCACACGACCTGGGATCAGAACTCGGGCACCCTGTCTTAACCAATCTGAACTGGATGTCCACAGGAGCAGACTCCCTGTGGCCAAGCAACGCTGGAGAAAAAAGTCAGAGGAACCCTGGTCTCACATGAGGAGGAGGAGAAGGCATGAGTGGAGAAGGAGTGGTCTGTAAGCGCAGAAATCCTAGACACCTCCAAGGAAGGAGATATCTTTCATGGGAGCCCAAACTTGGAGAGGATAGCTCGGCCCTAAACAGACCTGTCAGGTGCTGGAGGTCTGCCCATAGTGGTCCCTGAGGCCAGCCTAGACATGGTCACAGCTACGTCACATCACTCCTCAACCCCACAAGGTGTCTGCTGCCTTCCCCACAAGAGACTCATGATTATCTCCAAATGTGGAACACGGTTCTTGGTGATTGGTTCCCCGCGTCTGGACCCCTCCCTTGGTGGGGAGAGATCCATTTCTCCAACCAGAGTGCAATAAAGCACTGGCTTCACAGCTCCCTAACTGCCCTGAGAATTCTTGACAAAGACTAGCTCTGCTCCCTTCCAGCTTCTCTTCTCGATTCTATGAGCAAGCTTCCCAAGGGGCTCACACACACACACACACACACACACACACACACACACACACACACACCATCTGGCTGTGCACACTCTCACCCTACAGCCAGCCAGTCTTTCTGAACAACATCCAGAATGCACCACTCTGCTCAAAGGGCTTTGCACCTCCCCCATCGGCCTCAGACAGAAATGCCCAGGCAAGAATAAAGGGTACTCCAAACAAAAATAAAGAATATCTCTAAAAAGAAGTGTCTTTTTTCAAACACGAAGCCAGCAAAATGATCAGACTCGAGAGCAAGATCCCACCACCAACACCGGAGAGAGGTCCCAGCTCTGCCATCTAGTGGTAAAACCTTGAACAGGGCTCATCTGAGGTCTATTTCCCCCTCTGTAAAATGGGAGTAAAAACGGCATCCATGCCATGTGCGCGTTATTGGCAAGACTGGAGGAAATGGAGTGAGTAAAGCCCTTATGATGCCATGTGAAGAAAACAGGCTAATACTTCACAGCTCCTTTGTGCTCGGGATGATTTTACACATAGAGCAATTATTTCTACTTTACAGGCAGGTCAGCGAGCAATGCATGAGATTGATCTATCTGGTGGCCTCATCTGGTTAGTAGAGCCAATTGTCTAGGCTAGGCTCTTGGAGTCTAATCCTGTCTCTGTCACATGCAGCCTCCTATCACCGTATCACTGGGAATTTCTCTGGAGACTCGGCTTCGCCAAGCACCGGAGGAAAGGCGTAGGCAACAAAGGCCGGGGCTTCCTGGGACAGCCCTTGCGATGTAGAATGCTGGGGATTATACCAGCTGGACTTTTGTCTAGCCCCAAGTGTGCAGGTTCCCATGAACCTTCGGTGTTTACCCACAGGGGGCGCAGCAGGCCGTAGGTGTCTCCTGACTCTGCCACCTGGCCGCATGCAGCCATGGAGCAGATCCACTGCCTTTTGGTGTTGGAATTATTGAGAAAGCTGTTGGAGTCAGCAAGCATGCTCAGATGGCCCCTGGTATCTGGCAGTGCAAAGCCCCCAGGGGGAAGCATTGCGGTAGTGCTTTTCCATCCCGAACCCCAAGCGCTGCTTTCCAGCCAGAACACTCATTTCCAAATAGTCGCTGATCCAAAAGTCGACATCGCGCTGGCCTTCAACCACGGAGCTTAATTTAAAATACAAGCAGCTGCTTTCCAGTGACTTTACTCGGCGAGTATTTTCTTTCCTGCTGGTCAGCATGCAGGGCCTGCCATGACTCTGGGTGCCATTCTTGTGACACATTTACTTCTCCCAACTCCTCCAAAGCCCAGAGAAACTCAGAAGTCCCAGGGAACCCCTAGTCCTAAACAGCATCTCTCTGCCAAGCAGGCTCAATCTTGTGATCCAAGCAAGGAAGTAAAATTGACACGTTGTCTTGCCCTGGAGGCCAGGTTTATGACCCCAGAATAAATGACCCAGGCCTGGCAGCTGGTCTCTCCTGTTCTAGTCACACTTTGCCTCTGCGACTTCTCTTTTCAAGTAGCTATTTTAATGGAAGAAAAACAATTCTTTATATCATAACTCGGGTCTTGGGGGTTCCAGTCTGTATCGCTAGTGGGGAATGGCAGTTTGACGTATCTTGCCTTTTTATCCTATTCAGAATAGCAGCGTTCTGTCGGTTGTAGCAAGCACAGTGTTCATTGTTAAAGGGGATCTCTGGACACACACATTGTCCTACAATTCAGCCAAGACAGGGAACAGTTAGGCCCCTGGAGACCATATCTAAGGGGAAAGCGTGCATTGTAAGGGAACCCAAAGAGCAAGATGTATGTAAGGGGCAGGAAGGACCCCTGAAAGCAGTGAGTCCTGGAGGGGATCTGGAGCAAAGTGTTTCTACAGTGGCAATGGTGTCAGAGTTAGTTTGCTTTGCTGTTGCAGCCACAACCGAGCTAAAGTGTCCAAGGTGAGGATTCTTGTCAAAACCACTTCTGAGCTCAGTCAAGAGTTTGGGATACTAAGACTAAATTTACAGTTTGGTTAAGGCAGGTTATTTATTAGTCTTACTTTGCACGTGAGGCTTATCCACAGAACTTAACCTTACCAAAGTCCTTGCTTGAATAGAACAACAAATAATTTAGAGACTTATCTGCCTCTAATCTCGATTCCTATTGACATTCTGTCATAATAAACAGCTTCCAGGGCTGGAGAGATGGCTCAGCGGTTAAGAGCACTGACTGCTCTTCCAGAAAACTTGGGTTTAATTCCCAGTACTCACATGGCAGCTTACAACTGTCTCTAACCCCAAGATCTGACACCCTCCCACAGACATACATGCAGGCAAAATTCCAATGCAAATGAAATAAAAGGAAATAAATTATAAGTAAAAGATAAATAAACAGCATTCATCTGGTGGCCCGAGATGGCTGCTCAAGTCTTAGCCATATCTGTTTTCCAGTAAATAGGAAGGAAAAGGGGGAAAGAAGAATATGTACTTGCCAGAAGTTACACTGCATTTTATTTTCCTAACTACAGCTCTATAGGTATCCAGGTAAACATAAAGGGCTACTAAGGAAGGAGACACAGTTGGCAGATGAAAGGTCTTCAGCTCCTTTATATTAAAAATATATATAAATGGCTGCTGAGCATTAAATGTGTGCCCCTCACACAAAAATTCATCTCTTGGAACCCAGTCCCCTTCATGTAGAAGAAAAGGACTTTAAGGAGTCATTGGAACTAGATGAGGTCATAGAGGTAGAGCCCACAGGAATAAGATTAGCACCTTCATACCAGTCATAGGAGAGCTTGCTTCTCAAGACTGTCTGATCTCCACCAAGGAAGGCTTTGAAGAGAAGTTGGCACTCCGGCTTCAACAAAGCCCAACCATGCTGGAACCTTGGTCTTGAATTCCTAGCCTGCAGAATTTTGAGAATACGTGTCTATAATTTAGAAGCACCTAGTCCATGACACAGCAAAATTCATAAAGGAGTAGAACCAGTCCAGGAGAAAGAATTGTGTTACAGTCAACAGAGCTGAAAGGAGTGGGAGATCCAAAGATCCATGTAAGCCCTTTGACATCAGACATGGAGTTACAAGATTTGGAGTTTGCCCTGCTGGGTTTCAGTCTTGTTTTGGTCCAGTATTTCCTCAATATGCCCCTATTCCTCCAATTTGGAATGGTACTGCATATTCTGTGCCATTGTGTGCTGGAAGTATGCAATTTTCTTTTTGATTTTTGATCTTACAGGGAGTTACAGTTAAGAGATTATCTTGGCCAGGCTGTGGTGGTGCATGCCTTTAATCCCAGCACTTGAGAGGCAGAGCCAGGCGGATCTCTGTGAGTTCAAGGCCAGCCTGGTCTACAAATCGAGATCCAGGACAGGGTCCAAAATTACACAGAGAAGCCCTGTCTCAAAAAACCAGAGAGAGAGAGAGAGAGAGAGAGAGAGAGAGAGAGAGAGAGAGAGAGAGAGAGAGAATCTTGAAAAGAGAGTTTCGACTTTGGGCTTTTAGACAGCGTTGAGACTGTGAAGGATGATGGGGACTTTTGAAGTTGGACTGAATGCATTTTGCATTATGATATGACTATAAGCCTTTGAGAGCCAGGGAGTGAAATGTGGTGGTTTGCATAAGAACACCTAGCCAGGTGGTGGTAGTGCATACCTTTAATCCCAGCACTCAGGAGGCAGAGGTAGGCAGATCTCTGTTGAGTTCAAGGCCAACCTGTTCTACAGAGTAAGTTCCAGAACAGCCAGAGCTACACAGAGAAACCCTGTCTCAAAAAAAAAAAAAATAAATAAATAAAAAATAAAAAAATAAAAAAAACATAAGAACAACCCCATTAATTTATATGTTTTAATGCTTAGTCCCCAGTTGGTGGAACTGTTTGAAAAGGATTAGGAGGTGTGACCTTGTTGGAGGAAGTGTGTCACTCAGAGTCGGCTTTGAAGTTTCAAAAGCCAACACAGGTCCAGTAGCTCACTCTTTCTGCCTCATACCTGTGGATCAGATGTGAGGTGCCAGCTACTGCTCCAATGCCATGCCTGCCAGCCTGTTACCCCACTCCCTGCCATGACGGTCATAGACTCACCCTTTAAAGTGTAAGCAAGTCCTCAATTAAACACTTTCTTTTACAAGTTGCCTTCATAGTGCCCTGTCACAGCAGTAGAAAAATTACTAAGATGACCTGTATAGGAACTTCCCTCAGCCTGGGATTAAATACTCCATTTCGTCCTAATCTATCAGCACCGAGGCAAGCCACTGAACTCCTACTGTGTGCCAGGTACTGCACCAGTCACTGGGTGTACAATGTGAACCATATAAGTGTCTGACCATGAGGAGTTGACAGTCTAGTAGGAAGGTAGACCAGATGTCTGCAGCTTAGTCACTAATGGCAAGTTTCCATAGTACTGCTAAGGGGTCCAGGCTATGTAGGGAGTTTGGTGCATAATGTCTACAAGCTTAGTAGCAAGTTTCCTGAAGAAGGGGCTGTGATCTGTGGTGGTAATCTAATTGTACTGAAATGTGATTTTGATTATATGTTAATAAATAAAGTTGCTCGGGGGTCAGAGCTATTAGAGCCATAGCAAGAGTGTGGCGGTGGTGGCACACGCCTTTAATCCCATAGATCTCTGTGTGTTCAGGGATACAGCCAGCATTGGAGACATATGCCTTTAAGATCTAGGGGGCTGTACATTCAGACAGTGACGAGGCAGTCATGTGTTTGGGTTTACAACCAATGAGAAGGCAGAACAAAATACTATAAATAGATGAACAGACAGGAAATAGGTCTCTTTCGGGAAGCTGGGACACCGCAGGCGGAAGGGTGAGATTTTAGCTCTGAGCTCTGACCTCTCGGCTTTCTCTTTTACATTGTTTCTGTGTTTCTTATTTAATAAGACTGTTGGATACATCAATAGTGATCTAAAAGCTAAAGTAAGTATTGGAGGACAGAATATTCTGGACACAGCAAACACCA